CAGGCTTACTTGCTCTCGTAGGTCAAAATGTTGAAGAGCTTATCAACCTTCAGATGGAGTTCTTTATTGCCAACTTCAGCGACCAGTTAAGCCAGGTACACACAAGCTCAAAACAATCCTCGAATTTGATGCCAGATTTCCGGAAGTTACCAAGACTAAAATCCCTGAGAACAGGAATGTCACAAGGACATGACACCATCTGCTTTTTAATCCTGAAACTGTGCGCAAGCCCTCAGTTCACGGTACGTGACCTGTTCAGGCGTTCAATAGAGTTGCATTAACTCGTGGCAGAATTGAAATAACCTTCTCTCTGCGATCTTCTAAAGACGATATAGGAAAGATCCAGCCTAATAATAATAATAATAATTTATTCTCAAATAACAAATATGTTACAAGAGACATGCCAATTTACAGGCAAGATCAAAATGTTAAGATTATCAACATATTTTTTTTAAAACGGTGTAAATGGATTTCTACCGTAGCGGTTCAAATGGTTTCCAATAAGTGCAACCTGAACGCGTATCTCCCGGTCAAAATATTAAAAACACAACAATCCTAGGAGAAAACGGTCTGTATTATATTAAAAGATGGAAATACAAAGCAATACCTGAATTTGATGCACTTTCCAAGTCACAATTACTCCGAAGAGTATCCAAGAGAAAGATGAATAAGTGACGTTAAGTCCAACCGCCACTGTATCAATCCAAATATGGCTGTAGCCATATTAAAGATCAAATTTAAACAACATATATACAGTTCAGAAGCAAACACAAAAACTTCAATATAAGTACAAAATATAGAAAGAATAACAATATACAATGATAAAATCTCAAATTGGAATCAAATAAAATACCAAAATGTCAACAGAAAGAGTCCGTCATGTCATAACAAAAATATGTGAACATGGAGGGATTTTCCAAAAAACAAAACATTCAAAAAGGATTCTACAAACGGTATACAGTTACTTAAACTTTTCACGAGATTCATTGTTTTCTTAAAGATGGAATGTACAAAGCGAGTAATTGGCGCAAGTTACGAAGGTTGCGTTACGACAATCATCTTATGGACTGAGAAACGATTCATGGTACAGATGGGTTTTCATATAACAAGAATTGATGCGGTAAATGTACAAAGGTCTGGTTGATATTCGTCAGCTAATGATTTCACATGTTCTTGGCTAGGGTAACCAAGTCTACTGCAAATATCCAGACAAATATATGTGGATTGGAATAAGATTCTGAAAAAAGAGGAATAAAGAAAACGGGACGAGGAGCAGAACAGAAAATATTCATGTTAAAAGCCGAACAATGGCTTTGCACAAACGTTTATGGATAAAACAAAGGTATGTTTACCCAAACATTTTTAATATCAGAACACTTTACACCTGCGCTTATGTAGGTTAATGAAGACAATTCAGTAGTGAGATAACTAATGAGAAGTTAGTCGAAAGAATCGAGGAAATTCAGAAGAACCAAGTTGTTAGTAATAAAGTTGATTTACAAAATATAATAAAGAGGATCAGTGATATAATTTTTTGGTTTTATTTATTCTTTTTATTTTTAACTCTGAGGCTCAAGAAGTTATGAATGAGCTCTATTTTTAGTATAGTTTTCCAGACCAGCTTGTGATAGGATATCTCGGTAGGAAGTAAAAACCAGTGCAAGGTTACAGACATGGGTTGTAGACGAGGTTAACTAGGAAAAGTAACATCAATATCACTGATTTGTTACATCGTGCTATATCGTAAGGAGCCGTAAGCAAACAAAATGTTCTGCCACACAGACATGGGTAGATTGAGGTTATCGCCCCACCGTCATGAATGCTGGTCAGATACACCACCCTCCCTCCTTTTGTGATGTTAGGCTCTCTTACGTTTAATGGTTAATTGTAAATAATGGTCCCTAGTCTACTCTCAATTTTTTTTGTACACCTTATCGGAATTAACATTCTCTACTACCTCCAACATTACAAGCAATCCAGACAACTTTGCCAGATAATATATCCACATAGCATATCACACTGATTTTAAGTAAACGAATGGTATAATTTGTAAGATGAGTCAGTTAATGGGTAGTTTGGAAATAGGAAGGACAGGGAGCTGGAACGAGGAGAAAGTGAAAAAAAAGAGTTGAAATAATGTTAAAAATTAATGAGTAAAGCGATAAGTTGGTAAGCAGGCAAGGTGTTTGCATGTTAATGAATTGGGGAAATAAAAATTAGTTTAACTGTTATTACTTAAATAAGAAGATACTCACAATGATACACGGTGTTTGAGTTCCTTGTAATTGACAGTAGTTGATCAGCATCTACAGGCTTTTCAATTTGTCTGTCTACTAGAAATAAAAACTAAAACTGCTTTGAAGATATGAAAATAATAATCGGAATTTAAATTCAGGGAAAAGTCACGGGTAACACTTCAAAGGCGTAACCTATTACTGTTAGTAGGAGCAGGGGGATTCGTCTATCATTTCATGATACATGTATGGGTGGTAATGAGAACACAATGTGTTCATAGTCTATAATTCGTTTCCGAGGTTCATCTAAATATTTGGTGGACCATAAAAGAGTGCCTGGGGACTTTGTGTGAGTTCCGGGAATAGTCGGTATATCTCTTTAGAGTCTAGCAACAGCATGACTTGTTTCTTGAACTTAGTGATTGTGTCACAAATACGGATAGTAATTGGCAACCTGTTCCACAGTTGACGGCCTACTTTAGGCTGGTCGCATTACTACCAATACTGTCGAAGGTAATGGACAGACTGGTAAGTATGTGACTGTGGGAGTACCAATAAAGAAAAAACATCCTCCATGAAGCTCAGCACAGGCTTGGAAAAGATAGTTCGTGCGCACCCAATCTTCTAATGGCATGGGACAGCTGGGAAACCTGTTTGGATCATAAAACATCAGTCCGCATAATGTCACGTCATGAACATTCTACCCCATTAGATTCAAACAACTTGCATTCTCGATCAAATTTCTCTCCAAAATGCCTCCTCAGAGTGCGAACTGGGTCTGGTGACCGCAGATAGAGAGAATGACTCGTCAAACCACATAGGAGATGCAGTCGAAACTAGTGCAACTCTTCACATTTCGCCACGACAACTCGGTACATTCACCCCGCAATCGCTCCTAACTCTCTTTAAAAAAAAGCAAATGACCACACCTTCCGTTCACAGTGTGATCGCACATCCTCTCTTCAAAAGAGATGTGGTAACTGGACTGAAGAATAAACCTTGCGACGACAGATTATAACACTCGAGACCATTCCTGCTAAGTTATACAAGAATTAGAATTGATCAACTGATGAAATGCAACATATTGTGTATGCCTAATCATCCCAGCACGAGCATTATGGCAAATGATCACCATCACACCTCACGAGTTAACCCTCAAAAAATCGCACACCAAGGAGCGAGCAGCCGAACTCTTGCATAAGTTTTTTCACTAAGAGTTATCCCATCTTTAAATACTCTATTAGCTGAAGTGATTAAGTCCCCGTCAGTGAATAGCGTCAAGAAGAAACTTGATAAAAACGTATACACCGATGGGTTATTATTTCGTTCTTGGACCAGCTGTTTCTGTCTCAGCTAGTGCTAATCATTGTCATTTCCTCAGATCAATCACTAGCATATGTTTTCTCGTCCTTGCTTGCACTTCGATTCTCTTGCCTTATCTTCACTACCACTTAATTAATTTATTTGTTGATTTTTATGGTTCCGAAAGTTTACTCTTCACTTTAGCATTGACATTTTTTTCCGTACTACAATCAGCTGATTGCTGACCTGGCTGTGTGATAGCTGCTATTATCCAGTTACCCTAATGTACTAAGGCAAACGCACTCACTCAAATTACAGGACATACAAAATCCATAAATAGCTACTAAAAAGAATTCGAGGGCTCACGGTACCATCAATTTACCTTTATCAAGCAAATGAAGCCGTTTCGAAGTAACACAAAGGGAAGGCGAATAAATCAGTTGGTTTATACTAACTCGTGAAAAATTTATTGGATACTAAAATGTCCTTGGGTTTTCGTGGCGTTACGAACTTGCGCGTTTCAATCTCGTCTTTAGGAGCCTTTAGAAACACAAAGTGGTGTTCTGAATTTTAAAGTAGTTACGGTCAACAAATCACATTAAATTCCGGTATTATATCTGTATCTTCCGAGTCTTGCCCTCTAATATTGATAAATTTGTTCGACGTGCTTGCACTCAATCAATGAAATAATTCATTATTATATCAGTGTTCATATCTCTGCTGCCAAATGGTAAGAAGTGTAGCGAATAAAGGTATTGTTGTTTTAGGATGGAAGTACCGCTAAGATGAAAGAAAGGCCTTCATACTATGGTGGGGATAAAGTCGATGCTGACGACGAAGGTAAGAGTGAAAACTGTCATGTATGTTTCGTACGTGTATATATGATTTTTTCACGATGTCATTAATCGCATGCTATGATAATACAATATTTTCGGTGTTCTGATCACGTTAGTTATAGATTGCCTTTATTATGTTTCCCCCAAATTCCCTGGTATGTCCTAAAATGAGAAGAGTTCACTTTTCCTCTCCAAATACTCACGTGGTTACGCGTATATAGTCGTTGCCAGGGAGACCCTCCTGACTACCTCATGATAAGAATGTCGTTTGCACAATTTAGAGGACAATAAGCGAATGTCCGGCGTCTTGACCAACTTTGTGAATACAGGGAAACAACCTAGGAGAGTTGCAAAACCCTGATATCAAACCAATGCTACACATAGACTCCAAGAAACTGACGGAATGAATGGCGTATAAACCTACTGTTGGTCACCAGCTGCCATGTGATGATTGCATCTCTTGATGTTGTTCCACTGCCTTGTGGATTAGATCTTTTGGTCGAAAGCTCAAGGAGTGGCTATGTAAGAAAATCACCTGTTTCGGTTTGCGGAGCTGGACATTTTCTCAGTCCACTCATAAATTCAATAATTTGTTTGGCTCATAAATATTTAGGTGCCCTCCTATACAATAATGTTTATCTGTTAAAATAAATAAATGTGATTTTACTAAAGACCAAACTCACTACCCAGTGTTCTGCATATAAAATTCATCAGAGATCAAAGATATACCAACTTTACATGTTGTCTGTTACTAGCGTCTTTAGATCATTACTCACTATATTTGTTACGTACTGGTAAAGACTGTTTTTAGAAGGTGAACGTATAAATATGAAATTGTTAACATTGAGAAGTTTCAGATGATTTCTTAACTTTGTCATTGACATGCTTTCAGAGAAAACCCCGGGAGGTTCACTTGTTGCCTCTGAACATGCCGATTACATAGTTCTATTCCGTGAAGGCACTGACAAAATAATGAGTCTTATGACTACCTTTCGCAACAATGCAAGTATGTTCGGAATGAGATTCTCCCCATCGAAATGCGAAATGTTGCTTCAGGATTGAGTTCCACTGGCACCTGAACTAGTGATAGAGAGTGAAGTAGTCAGTCGTGTTGACCGCTTCACTTATCTTGGGAGTCTCATCAGTGCTGATGGCCTTGTATGTGATGAAATCTCAGCACGAATACAGAAGGCTCGACTAGCTTTTGTCAATAGCGAGATATCCGTCTGCTAACCAAGGGACGAGTTTACTGTGTAGCAGTTCGCTCCGTTGTGCTCTATGGGCGTGAAACATGGCCAGTAAGAATAGAGGGTACTCGTACGCTACCAGCATCCTATTCTAGATGTCTTCGAAGCATTGCTTGAATATCCTGGGACCACCAACTAGGCAGTGATAATGTCGGGGAAATGGTACCACTTTAGAATCGCCAATAAATCGATGAAGTATTGAATTTTCAACATTTGAGGTGGTTGGGATATGTTTTACGTATGTCTAACCGTCAACTTCCTAGACTGGCGATGTTGTCTAATAAGGGAGTAGGTTTGAAGAAACCTAGGTGCGGCAAAGTGAAAATGTGGCACAAATCCATAAAGTCACTGAGCCATGTTAATAGATGTAGACTACTTGGTTAGGGTTCGCTAGACACAGGTAACCGATGGTTAGAAACTTTGAATGACATAGCTCAAAATCGCTGGCGGTAGCACAGATATATCCATTCTTTGTGTTCTCTCACATTCTAATCTTCCGAATTCCTCATCACTTTAGTCTTTCTTGTCTGAAATCTATTTCACTGGGCTATGCTCTTCAAATAATACCCTCAAACTCTAATCTTTCCGATTACTCCTCATACTTATACTACCTCTATCACTGTGGAGTTTGAATCAACAATCGCATCTCTTTGATAATGTGGTATGGTGACTTAAACTGATATACATACGTAAAAAGTCCTACTTTGTAGCTGACTGATTGAATCTAGGTGATTTGCAGCTAAAATGGATGATTTTGGCGGTATTTGATTCTCTGAGCTGAATAGTTCAGTCGTTAAATATTCGTTGTTCTTCTGAATACTATAAACTCAAACGTTAGATAGAAGTAAGCTATGCAGATTTCTGCACATGACAAATAATAAATAACTCAGCCTGTCAATCTTGATCTTGGTTGATCATTGCCAACTTCTATCCTCTCATTGCGAACCATATTTTTCTTGATTGTTTCACCCTTTGATCTGGTTCTTGTTACTATGCTTGTTCATGACGTTTCTAATTGGCTGGTAAGTTAGTCTAATCTTGATGTGTTCATTAGTTTTTGTTTAACCTAACTGCCAAGCTAATAGAAATCCCCTAGTGATCTTTTTGTTCCCTTTCCAAAATGTTGACATTTCCTCATTTGAATATATCTACGATTGTCTGCGCTTATGGGCGATAAGAGATATATCATCCTACCAATTGACCGAATTCAGGGATTCCAATACGACCCGAAATACTGTTCCCAAATCTCCGTTATATCAGAACATAACACGGTTAGATGAAGTTGTTTATGGGGTCGAGTACAGAAGGAATGAGTGGAATAATAAGCTTTGAAGATAATGCATATTTATACAGTTAGGTCGAATAGAAAACAACATTGAAGTATGTGACATTGATGGTTAGGACGACCAATCGGAAACAACATTTGAAGTGACATTGACAGTTAGGATGACCATAATATTGACCAGTAGGAATAGACCAATAGAATTAGACTTCCAAAAATAGTACTCTTAGGATATTTGATGAATATCCTAACACTATGTGAAGTTCGAATGATGTATTTTTACTGACTTCTCAGTGTTATCATTTCGATGGTCGATATATTTCTAGGTGCAATAATAAAGAGTTTAAAAATAAAAGCATCTGTTTCGCACGCACGTGACCAATGTCATTTGATATGCTTGAGTTATTACGAGTTCACCTTAGTCGGAAAACAAGAGCGAGGATCGAGGATCCGGTGACACGACATGCTACTCTACTCCGATTGTTCCAACCCCCATTTTGAGTATAAGAAGAAGACTTGATATGAAGTATTCTACAAGCGTCCAGAAATAAAAGGTCCGAGTCCTGAAGAGAATCAGGATCTCGGACTAGAGATTCGGGTCTGGGTCATAAAACGTTACAGACAATGCGTATTTATACAGTTAGGTTGAATAGGAACCAACATTTAAGTATGTGACATTGATAGTTAGGTCGACCAATAGGAAACAACGTTGAAGTACGTGGCGTTGATAGCTAGGACGACCATAATATTGACCAATAGAATTAGATTTCCAAAAATAATTCTCTTAGAATATTTGATGAATATCCTAACAGCATCATTCTCTATTATTATTTATTTCAGTGATAACTCATGAATATATCATGTACTAAGCACTGCTTTACTTTTGTTAGCTTTAATTCATAATTCATCATTGTTGTATGGTGGGATTCGCCTTTTTTTGAAAAAAACATTTTTTCTTCCTTTTTCCCATTTGATAAATAGAATCGCGTAAACTTTATATAAATGATTGTCGACAAAAGCAAGCAGCATTATATCCTGCATTTTTATTTAAATCACAGTCAGTGCAATTACTTCTGTCACCTCCAGATGACAGTGAACTACTTGTAATCACTGGTCAAAGTAAACTTCATTTGTATTTACAACAAAATCTAAATGAACTTTCACTTCAAACATGTCATAATCACAATCAATTAAGTCAGTCAAATCCTACTGAAATTGATTTAGGTGTATGTAAATTAACTAATCTTTGTATTCCGCCATTTCCTCAAACTATATCATCTGAAGTTTCAATATTCCGTTCGCATGGACTACCTTTACTTGTATGGCCTAAATCAACTGATAAAATATTCATACAAAAGGTATGTAAAACAATATATTGATTTTTTCTTATTGTGGTCATGAATGACTGTTTATTGTTTAGCAAGAATAGACTAAGATAACCTATCTCGATAGTTAGTCATTTTTAGAACTGTGGTAATTCACAAACGTTTTCATATGTTAGAGTAAGCGTGTCTGTAACATCCAGTAGTCATGTCACGCGTCCTATTGGAAACTTGTTAGGCAAATGTATATTTACATTGCATGTCGAAAGTCGGATTGGCTTGCGTCGGCACCTGAACTAGGGATAGGAAGTGAAGTAGTTGAGTAGTCAGTCAGTCAGATGCAACGTAGAACTTCGTACGTAAGTACATCAGTTTATGTGGCCATACCACATCAGCACAGAGATGTAATTGTCAATTCAAATCCGATAGTAGAAGAGGTAGTAAAGGTATTAGGAGTAATCGGAGAGGTTAGGATTAGAAGATATTCAAGAAGTATGATTTAATGAGAAAAGTTTAGAAAGTCAAAACTAGAGTTGTTGAAGAACCCAGAGGATTAGGATTTGACAGAACACAAAGCATAAATGCACCGGCGCCATTGCAAACGATTTTGAGCCATGTCATTCAAGGTCTCTAACCATCGATTATTATCATCTCGTGGACCCCAACCAGGTAGTCGACAACTACCGACATGGCTAAGTCCACTCGTCAATGACTTGATGGATTTCTGCCATGTTTTGGTTTGGCCACCCCTAACTTTCTTTCAACCTACTCCTACACTACAAAACAAAGTTCGTCGAGGCAGTCGGTGGTTGGGCATACGCAACACATGTCCCAACCAACTCAACTGATGAAGTTTTACCACTTCATCTATTGATCTGCCACTCTTACCCAGCACCCGATTCCTAATAACAGCGTTTCTCACTCGGGTGTCCCAGGATATACGAGCAATGCTTCTAAGACACCTATGATCGAAAACCAATAACCGACGAATATCTTCTCTGACTGGCCATGTTTCACAGCCATAAAGTAAGACGGAGCGAACCACTGCACAGTACACTCGTTCTTTAGTCAGCAAACGGATATCTCGCCTTCGCCATAAGTGACGCATGTTGACAAAAGCCAATCGAGCCTTCTGTATCCGAGCTGAGATTTCGTCAGTCACCAGGCCATCGGCACTGATGAGACCCCCGAGATAAGTGAAGCGGTCTACACGTTCGACTACTCCACTCCCTATCACTAGTTCAGGTGGTTGAGTTGGTTGACTGCTTCACTTGTATCGAGAGTCTCATTAGTGCTGATGGTCTGGTGACTGACGAAATCTTAGCAACAATACACAAGGCTCGACTAGCATAGGAGAGATATCCGTCTGCTGACCAAAAGACGAGTGTACTACGCATCAGTTCGCTCCGTCCTCTGTGAAACATGGTCGGTCAGAGTAGAAGATATTCGTAAGTTACTGGTTTTTGACCATAGGCGTCTTCGAAACATTACTCATATATCCGAGGACAACCGAGTAAGCAATGCTGTTGTTAGGAAACGGGTGCTAGGTAAGGATGGAAGAGATCAACAGGTGACTGCCTTGACGAGCTATGTTTTGTAGTGTAGGATTAGGGTCAAAGAAAGCTAATGTATTTATTTAGAACAGGATCATACGTAACTTAGATGTCCTTTGTTTAATCGATTTCATCTGTGGCATTTGTAATGTCGTCATAATCATTTTCAAAACATAATCTGACTTATTCACTGAATTATTAGATGTGTGTGACATTCATGAAGTTAAAATCGTTTTAAGTTTGTTCATCAGTACCTATTTGTTGAAAATAGACTAGTCAACCTGTTGGAATGATACTTACGATGAGGAAACAAGCTAAATTGTTAATCATTTGATATACTCGCTAACTGATATGCTTGAATGCTATTACGAGTTCAGCATTGATACAGTGACACGATTGATTGTTCTAATCCGTTTTGTCCCCGACGAAGCTAACTAGATCAAGAAGTCTTGATAAGGCTTAGAAAGTGTATTATTCTACAAGCATTCAGTAAATACCATGTTTTTCAAGCACACAAATCGAGCCATTGGAAAAGCCACAAAAATAATTCATCAACCAATGATAGTCAAGGATTTTCTGAGAGGGAAATATGAGCTGAAGGTCAGCTGTAGCCAAAAAACATGGAAATTCAATATTTCAACATAAAATTACAAAATTAAAACTTTTCCAAGTAAGTTCTATTTCATCTAACGTCTCCAAACATCATCTTTTCCTCCTAATAAACCAATGAATATTTTGCATTACGGGGTTGTGAAGATTGTTGTTAAGTTACACATTTTCTTTGAAACCATGAATCGATCAATGTTAGACTAACACCATTAGAAACCTGGAAGCACTGAAAGACGGCCGTTTCGTTCATTGGTATGGGACTCCTCAGCAGTGAGTGCGCATCCACGACTCCTACACCTCGCAGGACTCGAACTCAGGACCTTCAGTATTGTGCGCGAACGCCCTAACCGTTAATTGTAAATTTATTATTTAATTAATTATTTTTTTTAATTATCATTTTTTTTTAGTATTTAAATGATAACTATCCAGATTGTGGTCATTGGTTTAGTGAATTAAATAAAGTAGCTGGTTGGTTAGAACAGAAATGGAGACCATTAACACAGAATTTGGGTTTGGAGAAGAATGATGAAATCAATAATTATACTAATAATGATAATAATATTGAGCTGGATAAGAATGCGCGTATTCGTGGCGTACCATCGAATTGTGTTGCTATAATTTATTTGAAAAAACGTTCAACACAATATGAAAAGTATGTTGAAAATGTACTCTTATCGATCAATGTTATCTTTGTTTTTATGTACATGAATGGCTATTGCCTGACTATAGCTGCTACCTTGACATGGTGGTATCGGGCTTGCCTATCGTGTGATGACCCAACCGAGCTATATTGGTTGAAATATATGTTTCTGTAGGTTCTACCATGCCAGACAGGTCGATTGGAGAACGATGAGAATAAAAAGCGGCTACTCAAGGTCTCAGGGTGAAGTCGTATTGCTGACTGCAGAGAGGTGTGACAGCAGTAAGGTATTTCTCTCGGACAACCAGCATCTACAACGATGCTGACTTCTCACAAGGAAGGAAGGGTTAGAAAAGGCCCGACCCTAAAAATGTCACACCTCACCTTACCTCACGGATTTCTGTCTCCAGTGGTAAGGGATGCCCAATAAGTGCTTTAAAAAGAGCGGAGCTAATACTGAAAAATCCTTTCATAAAAAGGCCGTGCGTGACCTGCCTCAAGAAGTTGTCCCTTGGGCTAGATGATGATGAATGACAGTTGATCTTGTGATTTCTTAGGTTGGCGTTAATATAAATGAGAATTTGTTCGGTGGTTTGGCTGCCAGTGTACTTGAATCTCCAGTTTTGGGATGTCGGGTGTGTTTAGTTTCGGTCTATCGTAGAATCGCAGGAGCATTTGTCATCATTAAAAGCGATGAGCTGGAAAACACCTACACTATGACCAACGTGAAATTCACAGTGGATAAGGAACCGAATAACAAGCTATCAATCTAGGATGTATTGATCACCAGAATTGATACAGAAAAATTAAAGACTTTAGTTTGTCAGAATCTGACGCACACGGAACGAATGCTCAACTACAGTAGCAACAGCCCAAAAACACACAAAACCATCTGCGTACAAACTTTATTCAAGAGGATGGGAACACACTGCAGCACATATGTAGCACGGAATAATACCGAAAAATTATCAGATAACTATCCTTCAAAAGAATGGCTACCCATACAACTTTATCAAAGAATACCAACTCAATGCATCATCAAAAACGAAATCAAGTATAGAAACCATATATGAAAGATATATCGGAAATCGGTTTGAATTATTATTTTATAGTTAGCGTTTTTTTAGCGAATTCGTTTTCTATGGGGTCACTAACCTCATTCCCAACCCTCCCGCTTTATCCGGGCTTGAGACTGACAGTAGCCCCAGAGGTGTTCTAGGCGGAGTTATATCGGAAATTACAGCACGACTAGTGGAACCGTTTAGAACAGGTGTAGCACACAAACCAACAGAATTACTTTAATCAATCCAATCTAAACCAAACGTTTCCATTATGGGCAAAGTAGACGTCCCTTCCAGCTTCGCCTTCGTGAACATCAATTAACAGTCAAATGCTTTGACATATCATTATCAATATCAATATATGTGGACAATCATGGACACACATTCTACTGAAAACATGTTGAAATCTTGGATAGAGGGGAATACAGAGAACACTAGTGAATTTTTAGAAGCTTGGCGCTCAATTCAATCAACAATCAATAAACACATCAAAATCGATCCAATTTACCAACCAATCAGAAAAATCAAGAATCGAACCTAGGGGGGTGGGATACAATCAATATAAAGAGGCAGACTATAACAGTACAATTTGGGAGGCATATGTAGGGAAATTCGAATGCTTCACTTCACAACTTGAAGTTTATGCTGACAATGTTGTTCAGAAGAACAATGCAAGCTCCACGAGCAAACCATCGAACTTAGAGAACGAAACTCCACCATAGTGTAATTATTACTAATTGTAAATCGGTTAAGATGATTATTATTCAGGGAAATAATATTATCGATTGATTTTTTAGTAAATAGATAATGTTATTGAATATTGTACATAATTGAATTGGTTATTTTCTGTCGACTTAAAACATTTTTTGTTGTATAAATAATTATGATAACGTAACTTAGTTATGGCGGACGGTATCAGTTACTCGATATCTTTGAGCTAAACGTTTTTTGTGTGAAGTTTTCGAGACAAAAATAGTAGCGGTGAATTCTATCTTTGAGTTGCGTTTTTAAAGTCGAGGTTTTTGTGCAGTCAGTCAGCCAGTCAGTTATAGTTACAACATAGAACTTCAGGTTGCCTTACCACATTAGCAAAGAGATCGATTGGTCAATTCAAACATTATAGTGGTCGATGTAGTAGAAGTATTAATGACAATTGAAGAGATTGGGGTTCGAAGAAATGATTCGATTAGTATGATCTAGTGAAATAAATTTAAAGAGAGAAGGATAAAGGTGATGAGGAATTTACAAGATTCGAATTGGAGAGCAGAATAAGAGTAGATGCATTTGCGCCATTACAAACGATTATGAGCCATGACCCCAACCATGTAGTCGACACCTACCGACATGACGCATTCCATTTATCAGTGACTTCATGGAGTTGTCGCGTGTTTTAACTTTTCCGTATCTAGCTTTCTTCCAGCCTATCCATACACCACAAAACATTGCTCGTCGAGGCAGCCGGTGGTTAGGCATTCGTGACACATGTCTCAATCACCGTAACTGATGAAGTCTCGCTACTTCACCAACTGAAATACCATCTGTACATAGTATTCTCATCATAACAACAGCATAACTTACTCGTTCGTCCTTGGATGGTTGATATACGAGCAATGTTTCCAAGATATCTATAATAGAATACTAGTAATCTACAAATATCCTCAACTCTTATCGGCCATGCTTCGCATCCATATGGTAGTAGGACGAAGTGAACTGATGCTCAGTAAACTCGTCTAGTTTTTTTCTGTGCAGACACTTTTTGTTGAAACGCTTGCTTAAGTAATTCCCAGATAATTCCTATTACTTAGTATTCTCTGACCACACACAATACACTGGACAAGTTCCAAAGAATCAAAAACACGGTGGAACAGGAAAGATTTATATTCCAAATAACAAGGTTAAATGGAAATAAGAAGCCGAAAGCGAAGGCAAAAATAGATACAACGTTAGTTTCTTTATCGTATTTACATGAGAAGCTTCTGGACAGTAATTCACGTGATCGACTGGATTAGATTTAGCCAATCAGAGTGCAGGTAACAACACGAGAATTTTCTACCTTGTTCTCCAAAAATCAATCGGGCGCTAATTGGATAGGAAATTAGCTAATCAGCGCGCAGCAACCTAGTCATGCTTTAATTCCATCTATGTCCCACTAACACTTTTATATTACTCGTGGTCACATATCCATAATATATATATATATATATATATATATATATATATATATATATATATATATATATATATTGTTGCAGATTTGACTGTTTATTCAATAACCAATAATCATGGTTGTTAATCAATTATCAATGATAATAATAATAATAATAGTAATGATAATAATCAAGTTCACTTTCTTTCAGATATTTCAGTTTGCTAAAGACATACTTTACTCATCGTCTACAATTCACATCAGCTTTTCATCATAATCCTATACATAGAGAACTTGTAGAACATTATGAAGTAAGCTGATATTATTTATTTATATATTATGATCATTTCTACTGGCAATGAACTAATGATGAATGTTTTTTGTGTGTGTATGTATGTGTGTGTGTGAATAATCTTTGTACAATTAATCAGTGTATCTTTGTTTAAAAGTGATATCCACAAACTTAGTACATGCGGATTGCCTCTAAATGTGAAATCTAGGTGTTTCACTTTCAGACAGTCAATCAGTCAGTCAGTTACAACATAGGACTTCGTACGTACGTGCATCAGTTCAAGATGCCACACCACATTATTACACAGAGATGCAATTGTCAGTTCAAATCACATAGTGGTGGAGATAGTAGAAGTATTAGCGGTAATATTTAGGGATCGAAGATATTATTCAAGAAGTATAATCCAGTGAAATAAACTTAAAAAGAGAAAGATATAGGTGATGTAGAATCTAGAGGATTAGGATTTTGGGAGAACACAAAAAATGGATGCACCTGCACCATTGCAAATGATTTTGAGCTACGTCGTTCAAAGTCTTTCACCATCGGTTACGATTGTCTCACGGACCCCAATCTGGTAGTCTACACCTACTAACATGGCTCAGTCCACTTGTTAGTGACTTCGTGGATTTCTGCCACGTTTTGGTTTGGCCGCCCCTAGGTCTCTTCCAACCTATTCCTACACCACAAAACGTCGCTCGTCGATGCAGTCGTCGTTTGTGCATTCGTAGTACACTTTAGTGAAAACCTACCGGTTAGGTAAATTTATCAGCATTGTAGTGTTAATGTCGATATTGATTTGGAGCTAGGAACAATCTATTCGAATATCAATGCGTTATCCATCGGTCTACTGTTAGGATATTCACGACCAGGACCAGGAGCAGTACCCGGTCCCGGATCCGTCATACCATTCCCAGCTACCATGAAACCTTAGTTATTGAGGTTTTTCTCAGCCAATTATCTCCAACCATTTAACTCTGTGCAAATTACCGCTGAAGTTCTAATATGAAGTCGTATCTAGTAGAGTTTGTTTATGTGAGGAGTGTTAACCAGGATCATTCACAATATTTGAATCATCGCCGTCTAACATCACAAACTAATTAAGGTTTGAAACGTACTATTCGTTGCCCATTCAGTGGTCCCTATTAATTCAGAATTAATCGTAAGACTTGAAGGATCTGACTTTGATCCCAGATGAGATTGCACACAGATTTTTTTTCTTAAGTCCTTGTTCAGTGCACTCTATTTATTTCTCAATCGTAACCACGATAAAATCCAACATATGGCTCCAATTACAATCTAATCACATTCTTGTTGTTACGTTTTAATTTTAAAGGAAAGACATAAATGTTTAACTGAAGATGCTGGATATTTTAATGTGATTGGAAATCGTCTCATTCAACTGATCAATCAATCTTTATCATCTGGTCGATCGTATACATTGAATCCAATCACTTTCACTTCGTGTATCAATGATTCAAGTATAAGAGAACAATGGTGAGTAGTAAGTGAGTGAGTAAGTAAGTGAATGGGACACGCTTCATTATGTCATATAGTTGTGCATATTGAAATTTTAAACTGTTGAATTCTCTTTCTCAATGACTGCATAAAATTTTGTTTCTTGTCAATGTTATAACTTGATCCAATAGTGGTTCTGAGTTAGGTCTTGTCTGTTTGATTGTACATGTACATATAACTGTATAGTTTGATATGAGGACATTTCATTGGCTCACTACCACCCCTCCCCCACTTAATGTTCAGCTGATTTCAAGTGAATCAATCCACTATTGGTTAATGTAATTAACCTTCAGTGATTCGAATGCGTGTTTGAACCCTATTTTGTTTTTACTTACTTTGCAGTGGACAGTTAGTTAGTCAATCAAAATGTAGGACTTTGTATGTACATACATCAGTTCAAGTTGCCTTACTACATTAGCACACAGAGACGCAATTTTCAATTCAAATCCCGCTGTGATAGAGGTAGTAGTGTAGTGAAGGAGAACACAGGTGAGGGCAACCGAATTATATTTATCTCGAATTACAGAGTTAATTGGTAAAATAGAAAAACCATATCGTAAATCGTTAATTTGCAAAATATCAATCCATCATATCGAACTGGACTGTTCCTGCTGCAAACATCAATCCATTGTCTGACATTTCACTGTTCATGCGTTTCATACAAATCCCATTGTGTTCCCACTCTTCCTTTCTTGATCTTCCCCCATCTTCTGCTGCCAGAGATTACGTTTTTATTCGCGTCATATACTACTTATAAGTAGCGCGCACCATAGTAGAAGTATTAGCGGTAATAGAGAAGATTTAGGTTTGAAAGTATTATTCAATAAGTAGAATCTAGTGAAATAAACTTTAAATAAAAAGATAGAAATGATGAGGAATTCAGAAGATCAGAATTTGACAAAGACTAGAAACGGATGCATCTGCGCCATTGCAGACGGTTACCAACCATGTGATTGAAGGTCGCTAATCATCGATTACTATCATCTCGCGGGCCCCATCCACGTAGTTGACACCTACCAACATGACTCAGTCCACTCGTCAGTGACTTCATGGATTTGTGTCATGTTTCGGTTTGACTGACCCTAGCTTCCTTCCACTCTACTCCCACAGCACAAAACATCGTTTGTCGAAGCAGTCGGCAGTTAGGCATACGCAACACATGTCGCAACACCCTTAACTGATGAAGTTTCAATAATTCATCTATTGATTTTCTGTCCCTACATAATACTCGTTTCTCAACGACAGAATTGCTTACTTGGTTATTCCATAATACATCAGAAATGTTTTAAAGACATCTATAATTCAATACTAAAAACCTTCGAATATCCTCTACTTTTACCGGCCATGTTTCACAGCCATAAAGTAGGATGGAGCGAACCACTGAACGGTACACTCGTCCTTTGGTTAGCAGATGGATATCTCTCCTACCACATGAGTGACGCAAATTGTGGTTAGTTAAGTAACGTCACTAGCCTTCGTAATGAAACTGTGACTAATAAATGAGTTGATAATCGCTCACTAGATCAAATCGATTCGCAAACTTATATTTGACCTTAACAAATAATAATTAATTCATTTATCCCATATTTTTATGATTTACAGCTTACATGCTTTATTGCCTAGTAATGAAGTGAAGAATATTAAAAATCAGAAAAAGAAAACCGTAAGTTTCTCTTACTCTCTCTCTCTCTCTGTGTGTGTGCACTTGAATTCAGTTAATCCATGTTACCCTTTTACGAAGTATATATAGGCTACCGGCTGCCATTCTCCAATCAACTCTGCCCTCCCAGTTGTTTTCAATTGTTGTTCAGTCTTTCAATGTCTGTTTTTAATTCCTTTTCACCTTTTACCTTGAAAATTCCAAATTAGGGATTGTATCGTGACCTGCTTTGATAATTTCCACAGCATTATACCCTAACCCATCCTCAGCATTTCTTTGCTGATTTCTTCCTCAATTGAAAGCTGGTTTGTTCTCTGCCACAGTTGGTTGTTGCTGATGATATCTAGTCAACGAATCCGCCGTATCTTGTGTAGAAAAACTGTCAATAAACATCTGTATCTTTTGGATGATAGCTTTCGTAGTTCTCTAAGTTACCACTCCATACCACAGGATTTTCTTGGCTTTTATACTGAAAATTCTGACGTTAGTTTTGGTTAAAAATTCTTTCGGAATCTTGGTTCCTCTTTGAATCGACCTTGTAAGGCTTGGAACTTCATACTGCTGAGAGATATCTTGAATTCGTTAAGGGCTTGACAAGTATCCTGTAGTAAGGATGCATTAGTCTTTGATGATGCTCAGTTATGCCCACTTATCCAGTGCTTCTTTAGCTTCCGAAGAAGCTCGACTTTTATCATGAGGCATCACATCTGCTTTCAACAACAAACTGTCGACTCCTAGGGCAGAGTTCGAGTAGTTTAAAAAATGTTTTCTCGTTGGTGTTTGTTTTAGCAACGTCGTTTTCAACTGGATTGAGCTACTAAGGTCATGCCCAACCTTCCTCCTTTATACGTAATTGGAACTGGCAAACAACTCTGGATGGTTTTCAGGAGGAGTTAATCCTCTCCATATATATACATATATATATATAAAGATAAATATCGGAGGTTTCATGGAAATTAGTTTTATCCACTAGAGATTACGTCAGCTAGAGTACCATTGAGTGCTGCATTGAGTACTGCTAATTGAGTAGTTTAATTGGTTAAGCATCAGATTAGACATGAAACAGTTATCCGAATGCTCTGTTAGATTTCCATGATATTGCAACTGAGTTAAATCCAATACATATTTTTCATCAAACACATTAAGCACATATTCCATTTGTGTTGTTCTCGAAATGCCTTCGAAAAATATCAAATGCAAATGAGCACACATAATCAACGATACGACTTGATAATATGTTTCCATTTTACTCTTGAATCTTGTTATCGTTCGGATATTCTTTCTATGGGGTAGAAATCTTTATTCAAAATAAAAGTGATTCTAAAGGACCTTTCCTGCAGGATCACACAAAATAAATGTGAAATACATATATTCAGTTAATTAATTTAGTGACGAGTAATTTGTCTGATTCATGAGAATAACGCAATTAAGGTCAACTTAGTCAGTCAGGCGGTCAACTACAATGTAGAACTTGATACGGTACGTACATCATTTCAAGTTGTCATATCATATTAGCATTGAGATGCAATTGTCGATTTAAATCCCATAGTGGTAGAGGTAGTAGAAGTATTAACAGTAATCGGAGAGATTAGGGTTCAAAGATATTATTCACCAAGTATGATTTAGCGAAGATTAGAATTTGTAAGAACACAAAGAATGACTGTACCTGCGCAATCGCAAATGATTTTAAGCCATATCGTTCAAGATCTCTAAGCTTCAGTTACTATTGTTTCGCCTACATATTCTAACATGACTCAGTTCAGTTGTCAGTAACACTTCATGGATTTGTACCATATTTTGATAAAGTTAATTCAAGTCAGATGACTGTCATGGCTTCTTTATATTTCAATAACAAAATGTTCCACTTTAAATGACAATTAACTTCGGTTGAAAAAAACATCAATGTGTTGTTAAATTCAGGAACAACAGTCAACCTATTGAATATTAACACCATTAGATGCTGGCTCATCAATCGAGAAGTTATGCGTTTGCTCACAAGACCGAATGTCCTGGACTCGAGCCTTGCAAGTGGTAAGAGTCGTGGATGTGCACTACCACTGATAAGTCACTTGTCAGGACGAAACGACCATCCAGTGTTTCCAGTTAGCCTAACAATGATTCACTCATTATTTCAATACAAAAACAGAATAACCTGAGTATTCCCGACTAATCAACGTCATTTATAATAGTGAAATACGACTATCACACGTAAATCTCACTGTACGCCCCAATCGATGGGGGAGGCTTTTAAGTCTTGAAATGATCTCATTCTGTTTCTTTATTCATTTAATCAATGTCGAGTAGTCCAACTTGAATTAAACTCTACTTAGCTTGTTTCTACGTCAATATTTTCCCTATTTCTTTTATTTTGTTATTTATAGACTAATGAATTATTGCATAGACTGAATAATCGTTCCAGTAATGATAAGTAATAATGAATTAAAATTTATAATGTTGTGTTTAAAAGTTTTTATGGTCAACCAACCTTCTATTATTGTTTCCTGGTGTATATTTTTTCTTAACAAACTTGCTTTTTTATCGGTGACATTAGTATGTCAGTAATCCTCCTCCTCCATCCCTCCATGGCATTTCCATCAAAAATGATTTGGTTTGCTCATGTTGTGTTGTATCGGAGAATCTTGCTTTTCCCGTTGTTGATGATACATACTGCTGCTGCTGAGGCTACTGAAACACTGGTCATTTTCTGTTACATTTGTTGTTGCGTGTTTGGGATAGAAGAGCCAGATCGTTCAACTGCATCCTAGTTGTCGATTGTATCCCATGCTCCCCTCTGGATGGTGTCGTCTTCACAAACCAGTCGATGATGAAATAATAATTATTAAAAAAGTACCCATTGATCAACAATAGATTTGTATACTCGGCTCTTAGTCATACCGGTTTTGTGTTAGGAGACTGGTGATACTGTAGTGAACGAGAACATAGGTGAGGGCAACTGAATTGTATTTAACGAAACGTACAGAGTTACTCAGTAAAATCGGAAAACCATATCGTAAATAGTTAATTTGCAAAATATCAGTTCATCATATCGAACTGGACTGTTCCTGTTGCAAAACATCAATCCATTGTCTGACATTTCACTGTTCATGCGTTTCATACAAATTCCATTGTGTTCTAACTCTTCCTTTCTTGATCTTCCCCCATCTTCTGCTGCTAGACATTACGTTGACACTCATGTCATATACTACTTATAAGTAGTTCGCACCACAATACTACTCAGTCGTTCAAACTAAATTAAATGAAGTATATAGCAAAATGCCTATACTTATTTGTGAAAATTATATTTTCAAGAATCTCACCATTTATTGAAATAATTGACATTCATCTGTTAGGGAAACATAGATGATGAATTAAAGCATGACTACTTTGCTGCGCGCTGATTGGCTAATTTCCTATCCAATCAGCTCCTGATCGATTCTTGGAGAATAGGTTAGAAGATTCTCGTATTGTTAGCTGCGTGCTAATTGGTTAAATGTAATCCAGTCGATCACGTGAATTTCTATCCAGAAGCTTCTCATGTAAATGCTGCTAAATAGACTAACGTTGTATCTATTTTTGCCTTCGCCATCACCTTTGGCTTCACATTCCACTTAACCTTGCTATTTGGAATATAATCTTTTCCTGTTCAACCGTGTTTTTTGATTCTTTGTAACTTGTGTGTGGTCAGAGAATACTAAGCAATAGGATTTAGCTGGGAATTATATATAAGCAAGCATTACAACAGTAGCGATACAACATCATCATTCATCAACTATCGACTATTAATGATATTCAGTTACACATACTCATACTCACACACACACACGCATTGTGAACTTTTCATATCTCACTGTCTCATGCTAGTTGACTTGCTAAAGTCAACATTTGAATATGATTGCAGAAGCATTGGGCGTTTCATTTCAATCAAAATATTTCTTTTGTAATTATTATTATTATTATTGAACAATATTTCTTTCTGTTTCAGCCATTCTGTTGACAGTCAATTGGATGATGAAGAAGAAGAAATGGACAGTGAATTCGAATTTGACAGTGATTGTGATAAGTCTGTAGCACTAGATGAAAAGCATACCATCGATTCGAAAATAGTTAATCAATCTAGTTGTGATCTACCAAATCGTCCAATAAGCAAAGAGGTTGGTTTATTGAATTTGTAATGGAATAAGTGCTTTTTTTTACGATTTGATACTTGAATGAAAATATGTTTGAATAAACTACGGATAATAAGTAATTATAACTTCACGTATAGCTGATTAATCATATACAGTTGGTTATAAATTTTTGTGCGAATTTATAATATTATTGGATTATCTCCTAAATTGAAGTAGGTTTAATGAAGATTTCGAAAAGTATCTAACAACTCTCTATGTATATTCAATGGTTTTCATGGTAAGTTTTCATTTCAAGCTAATTAGAGAGGAAGAGAAAGGTTTATTTGATCAAATTGATACCCCCCACCTACCTTCACCCCATGAGATTCTAAAAACCTAATTGCATTGTACCTTTATTCACTGATTTTGATTTGCACATTTCTTTAACTAAGTAATCTAGTGTCATACACTAAGGAATCATCTTGTTCGATCAATTCGTAGTCGATGAGCGATGTTCTCTGGTGTAGGAGTATGTTGGAAAAAAAGCTACGGGCGGCCAAACCAAAACATGGTACAAATCCAAGAAGTTACTGATAGCTGGATTAAGTCATGTTGTCAAGTGTAGACTACTTGATCGCGGTCCGTGAGATGATAGTAACCTATGGTTAGAGACCTTGAATGACGTGTCACAAAATCATTTGCAATGACGTAGGTGTTCTCTCAAATCCAAAACCTTCTGAATTATTCATCACCTCTATGTTTTTCTTTTTAAGTTCACTAGAATATACTCCTTGAATAATATTTTCGAACCCTAATCTTTTCTATTACCACTAATACTTCTACTGCCTCTGTCATTATGAAATTTAAACTGACAATTGCGACTCTGTGCTATTATGCTATACCTACATGAACTTATGTACGTACGTAAGGAGTTTTACGTTGTAGCTGAGACTGACTTATCGTTTCATTATAGTAGTAGTAGTGGTAGTAGTCCATTTTAATGAAACAATTCTCAATCTGCATTACGAGGTTGTGAAGATTGTTAAGTTACACAGTTTTGAAACCATGAATCGATCAATGTTAGACCGTAATGCAAATTACCTGTGCTCACTAGTGACTAGCTTCGTGAGGAATCTTCTCCGAGTTCTAGTGGGAAGTCGTGACCAGTGAAGTTCAACCTGTTCGGGTGTAGACAGTAACTACCGAAGACTGTGTATGAGGTTGTGCAACTCCGTGAATTGATCAAGTTAGACATTAACACCGTTAGATACCGGCTCAATGGTCCGATGGTTTGGCGTTCGTCTACAATACCGAGGGTCCTGAGTTCGAATCCTGCGGGGTGCAGCAATCGTGGATGCGCACTGCTGAGGAGTCCCATACCAGGACGAAACGGCCGTCCAGTGCTTCCAAGTTTCTTTCTAATGGTGGTGGTCTAACATTGATCGACTCATGGTTTCAAAATTCTCAATCTATCACATCTTTTTACTGCTTAATACGTTTCCTTCCTACTGTTTCTTGTCAATCTGATCCGAGTTTTATTTGTTTTTCTTCATTTTAGATAATGAAAAATAAAGGTATAGTTAAATATCGACATAAACGTGAACGTAATCCTAGAGTTCATTTACGGCATAAATTTCGTAAAGCAACAATACGTTATAAATCACGTGTTGCACCAATTCGTAAAGAACTTAAACCATATGCTGGTGAAATTAAAGGAATACGTGTAAATTTAATTAAATCACATAAATTTAGAAAATATTAATCCTTTTTTTTCAATGTACTTAATGCCTTCTTAATGAAATTGTATTTCTTTTTTCTGTGTGATCGTCTTGACAATTGTTTGTTAGGTGAATAGCGTTGTTAGACATCGAATATCAGAAATCGTTTTATTGTTCTTACTCAAAACAAGATCTATTTGGAATAATACACTGTAAATAGATTTTCTACCGTAGCAGTTCAAATGGTTTCCAAAAAGGGCAATTCAAACGCGTTATCTCCCAATCCAATGTCAAAAAAACACAATAATTCTAGGAGAAAACGGTCTATATTATATTAAAAAAATGGAAATACAATTCAATACCTGAATTT